AAAAAAAAAAAAAAAAAAAAAAAAAAAAAAAGGAAAAAAAAGAAAGGACAAAAAAGGAAAGGAAAAAAAAGAAAGGACAAAAAAGGGAGGAGGGAAAGGAAAAAGTCAAACGAAGAAGAAAGAAGCGGAAAGAACTGCTAGCGTACACCACCACAATGTCGAAAATGGGAAGATTGGCGTGGAGAGGAGAGAGGAGAGAAGAGAGAGAAGAGAGAAGAGGGTGTGCCTGATCGAGGAATTTCCGAATCCCGCGAGCCCAGATGCCCAACTCTTCCTCTTTCTTCTTTCTTTTTCTTCTTTCTTCCCACCTGTATTTGTGTGTGTGTGTGTGCATGTGTGTGTGTGTGTGCGCCACCCCGCTCCCTCCGGGGAATGACAGGGTCCGAGGGGATGGTTGTCCGGAGAACAACCGGCCCTCTCGGCCCAGCCGTCCCCCGGATACCATCCACACACATATACACACACAGTCACAGACGCGTACACAAACATGACAGTTAGTCCGTAATCCCATACATATCGGCCAACGCTTCTCTGACTGTATGTATGGACACCCTGTCGGGTTGATAGCGATGCGCATTTCGCAGAGTTTTCTTGACAACCTTCCAGCAAGCATCTCCCGCAAAACCATTCCTCCTCATAGTTGTCACCACCTTCTTTATCTCCTCAGCAGCATCCCCCGGTTCGGAGCATAGTAACAGGATCTGTGCAACCCGAGCCGTTGTGATCTGTAGCGACTACTTGGCGCTCTTGTTGGACTTGTACTTCATGAATCTGCAGGGAGTAAACCCCAAACCTGCACATCTGTCATGCTTGGAAGTAGTGTAGGACCCTGTCACCGGGGAAGTGACCATGATGGTCATGCTGAGGAAGTTGGCCCTGCACCCGCATCTATCCACCGTAACCTCGGTGTTCTCTTTGATCTCTATATATTCGTCTGGATAGATCCAGCAGGGGTCGCTTGCCTCCCTGTCCTGCTTCTTCCGCACGAAGTCCCTGATGATAGCGTTGCTGATCGAGCCTAGGTCGTCGATGTACATGAAGGTGTCCGCGAAGCATGAGATCAGATGCACATTCCCTGTATCCGCCGACCTCATCATGGCGTGATACTCGTACTTGAAAAAATAGATGTCGCACCAGATCGGGGAGCATGCCAAACCCATGGGGATACCCTTGACTTGCCCCCATACATAGTCCCCCATGCGCAGTACGTTGTTGGCGATGCACCACTTTGTGAGCCAACAAATATCCTCTTCCCTGAACATTATAGACCCCATGCCCTCCGGTTGATCGCCGTCCACCCAGGATGGCCACAGGTTGCCATTCACCCCCACCTTGACCCCAATGGCATGGCTCGAGCTCCTCTCCCTCCGCACCCGCATCGCACTCTGTACATAGAACCTCACTGCCGCGGGAAGACTATCCTCCGAGTTGTCTATGGGGATCGTTTCGAAGCAACGGGTGATGTCGGCTGTGAAAACGGAAAAGACCTTCTCCGGTAGGTTCGCACAAAACTCCCCCACTACGGCTATGGCCCACCACAGATTCGGCCTCACCCCATACTGTTCTTCCACCTCCAAGCTCCTTTCCTGACAGAATGTCTGCACCAAAGGGAGGAGGAACCGAAGCAGACAAGCGCAAAGGTCCGCCGCAGGGGATACGACCGTATTGGCCGTGTTCATGATCCAGCGAAATGTGCCCTTGTGCGCTTTGAACACCATCATGAGATACAGGAGTGTTGCAGGTGCGATCGGAAGTGCAGGTATGGCTGAAAGTTCGCCCTGTATGCGCGTGATGACTGAAGCAGGGGGGACGGCGATACTGACAAACTCAGGGCCAGACAGCCTTTGAAAGGCCAGCTTTCGTATGAAATGCTTGCATACGAAAGCTGGAGTGCTCAGAGCCTTGTCCATCAGACAGATGAGGAAGCGGCCAGTGAGGAATTCCAGTTCGCATTTGACAACTGGATGCTCGAATGGCTCCGCGGTTACGTGCTTGTGCTCCTCACGGTACTTCGTCATCCTCCCTCTAGCCTTCTTCAAGACAATCCTTCAAAGGAATGACCTGGTGGATGTCGTGAGATCGCGTAGCTCCATTACCGTTGCAAAGAGCTTGTCCAGGAAGTTGTCCACCTCGCCCTCCGCCTCGTCCACGTCCAAGGCTATGCAGGGGATATGACTGAGCCCGGAGTTGATGATGCCCTGGAGTAGCGGGTTGTCCGTCATTGATGAGTCCAGTGTGATTACATGTGTACAACCCTCGTTCTGGAGCAGTTCGATCGATGAGTTGCTCTGCATGTCAGCGTACCTCCGAGATCTACACGGACATTGCCGCGGATCGTAGGCCTCCATCCACTGTGCCACGTTAAAGTCACAGAACACCTCCGTCGGTCTGCATCGCCAAGACGCGATACTGCCATTATAGGTCCACCCAATCCTGGTACTCTCTAACCAAGTCGCCGTCTCGTCTCCCACTAACCTCGCCAGGACCTCGTTCAGTAATCTTTTGATGGGCAGTGGCTCCGTTATTCTGCTAGTGTATCTCAAGTGCAGAAATCCGTCGCACTCTGACTTCTGTTTCTCCCATGATCTCCTGCCGGTTGGTAGTGTGGTCACGTGCCCTGGGGCATTGATGCTACTACTCGGGCCCTGCGCTTCGAAGGTCACAATCACAAGACACGGGTCGTGCCGGAAGGGATAGTGAATTTTCGAAGAAACAGGGGAGGGGAGGCAGGAGGGAAAAAGGTTCAATCAAGAGGAGGGCCAGACTCAGAAGGGCAGGAAAAAGGGAAAGAGAGAGAGAAAGAGAGAAACAAACTCCGGTCAAGATCCTCGCATGATCCTGGGGGGTATCACGCCCGTGTAGGTCGCCTGCTAGATGAGGCAGCGCCTGTTTTTCCTTTTCCCTTGCCCCCAGCGCTGTTTCTCCTTCCTTTTCCTGTCTGGGTAATGGTTGATTGTGCAAAGTTCTTGGGTGATAGGAGGATGACCGGTGGAGGAGTCAGACCTCTAAATACCATCATCGGATGTTGAGGAGGCGGGAGCGTGGAGGGAAAGGTCGTGGTCCCGGTGGCCTGCACAGGTGCAGATCGATGTTCTATCGGTAGAGAGTTAGCGATATGCAGACCGGGAAGGTGAGTCCCATTGCCTGCAAGTCCCATCTCGGTGATCACCACCGTCGGTTGCCAACGAGCAGCAGAAGACGAGGAGGGAGGCAGAGGAGGGGGAGGGGAAGGGGGAGGAGGAGGGGGAGGAGCAGGGGGAGGAGGAGCAGCGGTCACCGGTGTCGTTCTGCAGAAGTTGAGTGTAGTCTGGCCCGGTACTTGCACACCCCCATTTCTTTTCTGCGCTGCCGCTCGCGGAGAGCTGAGCGGAACCCTCGTTGGTTTTCCGGGAACCCGCGTGGGGAGCATGATTCGTGCGAGTGTCGCAGGGATCGGGTAGTTCCACAGGCGATCTTCCTTTAGTATGGTCTCCGCAGTCAGCGTCGCATCGCCCTCGAGTTCCTTGACGTATCCCATCATCAAATCCCTGAGGAAGTGAAAGCTGATGGCGGCAAGTACACCGTCCCTCCATGTGGTCCTGAGGTAGTGGATCAGCATTGATGTCCTGATCTTGATCGAGGACATATCCAGAAACAGGATCTCCGGGTGTGCCAGCAGATACCAGAGGACGTGGTCAAACCACAGAGGGGTGTCCCCGTAGTCCTTGTTCCTCTCCTTCTTACATTTGCATTTGAGATAGGGTCTACCCACGCTCCATATCTTTCTTAGATTCCTGAGGTCCAGCTTCTCCTGTTGCTTGATAGCCTTCTGCCACATCTCAGAGCTCGTCTCCCCACACTTGTCCGGGTCTAATGCGCGCATAGGGGGGAACTTGAGGTCCTGAGGATCCAGTGGGGTAACCCTCTATGAGAATTCCAGCTTCCACTTCAGTACCTGCGCCCTACACTCCTTTACTTGTGCATCGGTGACATTGCCTAAGAACTGGAGTGCCCTGACGGAGATCGGTGCGATATGGTTAAAGGTCTCCATCTTCCAGATCGCATTCCGAAAGCCCGTGGACGTGTGCTCTACCCAGTACGTGGAGGCAAGGGGCGTGAACGTCGTGTATTGGTCCCGTTCAGAGGCATTACCCACTCCTCTGTTGGTTGTGAGGGGGGAGTCCCTAATAGTGGTCGTAATGGCCGCGATCGCCCGTTCCATTTCTTCCTTCTCCTCCTCCTCGATCGCGAGATCATCGCATTTCACTCTTTGGTTATTCTGTGCGGTAGGCGAACTGCCTGCCTGGGTCTCGGGTATTCGTCCCTCCAAATGCGAATCATCCACCCCCAGATTCTCAGGAGGATCTGCTCGACTCTGGCAGATCTTGCCCCCAATTCCCTGCACTCCTTAGCATACTCCTGCTTCCTCAATTCGAGCTTTTCGCATAGTACCCTTAGCTCATCATCGAATTCGTTTCTACTCCGATCCCAGGCTCCCGCGAGAACGGCAAGCTCATTAAAGCAAAGCATCTCAAAGAAGTGCGGAAAGCGCCCGGTGTCCCATGCTAGTTTATCGCATCCATGACCCCCGGGTTAACACAAGTCATCAGAGCTTGTGTGGGTTTCGCAGGCTAGGCGCATTCCTTCAGCCATGGGAAGCGATGTGTGATTTTATTCCACCATCCGCCCGGGAATGATTCCCTAGGAGGTCGCTGTGAGAGTGCAATCGAAAGGAGAAAGGAAGAATAAGAGGAAAAAAAAACGGAGTAAAAAAATGGGAAGGGGAACGAAAGAAAAGGAAAAGAGAACCAAAAACCGGGCAGTCATCTTTGAAGGGGGCAAATATAGTAGTTCCTCACATGATGCAGACGGGGAAAGGGGTGTAGGGAATGGAAATCCGTAAAATAGAAAAGGCAAGATGAGAAAACTCAAGTGTAGAAGGGAGGTTCCCCGTAGGGCGGGAGTGACGAAGCAAGTCTCGACAAGGGGGTTGGTGGAGAAAAAGGGAAAGAACGAAGAAGGGAGGAACGGGGGTATTGTTCGGAGGGGGAGGTGAAGGCAGAACCTCAAACGAAGACAGCGAAAGATCGTTAAAACAAACCCCCACCAGCTGTTCCTAGAACCACGTTGTCTTTCACCACTGATTTCACAATTTTCAGCCTATTTTTGACAATTTCGAGCCATCCCCCCACCAGCGCTCAGACGACCTCGGCGTACCCCATAGCTACCACCATCACCTAATTTCATGCGGGGGCGTGTAAAGAACGCCAGGTAGACGCTTCACAGTGCGGTCGGGAGGGGCGGCCCCCAATAGAGACCGAGGAAACTCGTCCTCATGAGTGTGTAGCATGTGTGTGGCACATGAGTTCCGTACGAGCACGACACGTCATACTCGCACTACTCCGACTGACTGCGTCGACACACTGTGAGCAAGATATAAAACGTGGGAGGCGATTTTTCACAGCCGCAGGGTAAGACCATTCGCGTGTCCATTTGTGGTGAGGGCAAAAACGAGGCCGTTCCTTAAGTCAAAGTTTTGCCGATTAAGCGAAGGTGGCGAAACGAAGCGAGGGGGGTGAGGGTATTTCTGTATTTCAAGGAGGCATCACAAATAAGCAACCATTTCCAAACCTTTTACAAAAAATAATTTACCACCCATGCACGCTTTCATAATGCATACCCCAACATGCCATAGAGAAGACACAGGTATCTCAAATAAGCAACTATTTACAAACCTTTTACATTTTTCAAAAGCAATTTATTCCCCACACACGTTTCCATAATGCAAACCCCAACATGCCAGAGAGAAGATACAGGTATCCGCAGAAAGCACCTCATCACTCCAATCTCGCGAGATCGTCATTAGCGGTAAAAGGACACGATATCATTCGCGAATCGAAAAAGATTCTGAAAAAAGTCTGACAACGGTTCCCGAATCAATGGAACGAAAGCAAGAAAAGGGTAATGGGAAGAGGGAGGAGAGAGAGGGGGAAAAAAAAGGGGGAAG